AAAAAATTTCCTTCTTTCTCTAACATGACCAAAAAAGCAGGATGCATAGGGATTATATTTACTTTTTTTGGAAGTTCATATTCATTTTCTATGTTTTATTGGTTTAAATAAAAATGGGGTCATGAAAAACACATGCAAAATTGCAAATAGCTTTATAAATGATTCCGCTACGTTGAAACAGGGGTAAAAGGTTCAAATAAAGTCAGTAGTAATACAGAGAGCGCATGTGTTGGGTGTCTGATTGGCACCTTTGGTCTTCATCATTCTGATGAGCTTCGGCTTTTGTGTGGGGAAGATTCAAAAATCAAATAATGCCACGCGCTACACGTCAAGAATGTCCTATTGGGCTCTTTGCTCCGAAAAAACAAAAAGTATCCATATTTAGAATTATTCCAATAAAAAGATATCATGAAAAAGATATTATTTTCCATATATGTATGCATGTTATGGGTTTAAGACTCAGGTATTTGGCATATGTAAAAATTACTTTTAAAAAATATTTTTAAATAAGTAAAGACAAAACCCTTCTTACATATATATTTTATACCTTTTTGATCTTATAAGGTAAAGAAAATTTTTTATCCTATTTATAAGAAAAAGAGGGAAATTTTTTACATAAACATTTAAGTTTACTCTTTTTTTATCAGTGTGTTGGCTTTTTTCTTATGAAGTATAATATATTAGATATGAATAAAATTAAAAAATTAAAAAATTTTAAATGATAGTTAATAAAATTTAAGTTTTTTTTATCTGTGTAAAACATATTAAAACTGAATAAAATATATTAAAACTGACTTATAAATATAATTAAAAGTATATTGTGAAAATTACTTTTAACAACACCCTCTAAAGCTCCTTTGATGTCAAGAGGGACCCCGATGGTCACATGCATGAAAAGGATGATTAGTTAAAGGGACGTTTGTGTCTGTTATTGGGAAGAGGTTTCTCTCTCAGTATCGCTGATCCTATCCGTCCAATTGATCTTGGCACTTTAGAAAGAGGCACATCATCAAGCTTTTTGAAATTGCATCTCCATCGTCCATTGTACTATATGGCCGTCCATTCAATGTCCCAGCCAAATTCCCGGCCAAAAAGTCGGAAATGCAGCGCCCCGTCGTCATCCACCATGGGGCATCGCCGGACACTGCCGTAATTGCTCAGTCTTGGACAGGTACCAAGCATTCAGTCTCGGACATCGTTGGACACTGTGGTAGAGCGTTTCTTTTCCCATGGCTTTGAATTACTACCACGTGTGATTAGTATAAAACCTAATTCACTAATTTTAAAAAATTAAAATAATTATTAAATTATTTAATTATGACATATATTACATGATCACTCTAAAATACTTATATGTATTATTAGATTATATATCAATTTATAAATGAATTGATTGTTTAAGGCTGCCTATTTATTATATTGGCCATCGATCAAGTGATTGACTTGCAAATATTTGTGATTATAATTGCTTATCTATCTGTTTACAGGAAGCTATTAAGGAGAAATTTAAGCAATTGCAAAAACTGATCTCATCAATTCTTGGTGACAAACCGGTTGTGTTGATGATGCTGTGACTGTCTGAGCACTTGCAGCTGCAAATAAATTCATGAACCATTGAACCATGACAAAGTAGCTGGCCTCGTAATGGCATCCTCTTGATGTGAAAATAATTATGTCTGGCACATTTGCAAAACTTAATTGTGTACTTAGATGGTTTTCAATCAATAATATGCACCCAATGGAATAGAAGTGATAGAAAATTAGAAATGTACACGAGTTAAAGTAAAGATGTCACTTTTATAAAAGTCAGCATCAATGTGCCAAATACAATTGTCACTTTCGAATACACTCTCTAATATATTAAATACTAATATACGAGCTAGTTTGATATTTAATTTGGTTTTAAATATAAGTTCCTAATCTATTTTATCTCTTACATTTATCTATTTTTTTAAAGTAATTATTGTAGTAGTCATACTTGTTAAATGTTTTATTAAATGGTAATTCTAGCTAATACATATAATTAGTAACGGTGTTTTAGAAAAGATAACCTTTAATTATTATAAATAACTAATTTAACAAATTTTTTTAATCTAATTAAATTATTCAACTTCTAAAAGAAGCAGAACATTTTCAATGTGGTGAAAGAGATCTTTTTGCATTAGAATCGCAATTAGATTGAATGAATATATATATGCCCAAGCCAACCACTAAATATTCTGAGCACATTATTTTCGACCGGCCCCTACACCATTTTCCACTATCACGCATGCTTGAAGCAACAATTGTAGGGTCTCAAAATGCGACATCGAAGAACTAGACAAGTTCAATGGTCAATGAAATTACCTGTTTGGAATATGGCCACCGTAGACAGTGGTCTGTGAAGAACGCATCAAGGGAAAGCTCGAAAACGAAGGACCGGACAGAGAATTTTTCCCGACAATGGCAAACGGAAACTCCTTTCCTATTCCTAGATGGACGCCAAAACGAGGAATTGAAGGAGTAAAAATAAAACCATGGTTTTAAAAATATTTTTTTAGTATACAAAATAAACATATGAAAGAGTTTGTCTCGATTTATAAATTTTTTTTTAAAAGTGATTATTGAGCTGTCCAAACACTCTTAAGGGGATTTGTTTAGACTGGAATCAAAACTATAGTTTTAAAAATATTTTTATGGTATACGAAATAAATTTATAAAAGAATTTATCTCTTTTTGTAAAAAAATATTTCTAAGAAACAGTTTAGAGTGATTCTAAACACCTCCCAGTACGGACAGTGGGGAAGTGATTTTAAATGTTAGATGACGTGGCTCTTTTCTGATGGCTCAGATCGGCTGGACACAGAGAATTTAAAAATCTGAGAGATATTGAGAAAAATGATGTTAAGAGAAGCCGGACTCCCAAGTCCCAACATTGTTTACTTCTGGTCACATTGGTTTTTGAAAACTAGTACTCCTTCTGTTTTTAATATAAGACCTAATTTTTGAGTTAGTTTTGGTTCTAAATATAAGACTCATTTCTCATATTTATCAATTTTCTCTAAATTACTCTTATGGATACTCCCCCAACCATAATCAAGTAGAAGAGGGAGATGGGGTATTAAGAAAGATGATTATGATATTTTAGAAAAAATATGTCACATTTCTTATAATTAACTAACTTACTTAACTTTCTTAATCTAATCAAATTAGTTAAATGGGCCTTATATTAAGGACCGGATGAGTATTATATTTAGTTTTTAATATAAGAGTTAATTAATCAATTTAAGTAGATTAAAAAAATTAATTAAATTAGTTATTTATAATAAATAGATGTTATATTTCTTAAAATATCCTTACTAATAATATATATTAGCTAAAATTATTATTTGATGAAATTTTTAATATGCGCAACTACTAAAATAACTATTTTAAAAAAATAGATAAATATGAAAGATAAAGTGAATTAAAATCTTATATTTAGGACTGAACTGAAAGTCAAATTAGCTCTTATGTTAAGGATAAGATGTAGTAATTTTTATATTTGGTGGGAAGACAATAATTCAAAAGTAGATCTAAATTAACTTTTCCTTCTCAATTATTGACTCTTTCCCGCCCTTAGCTTCTCAATTATTGACATAGAATTAGCTTTTATAAAATTAAAATATACCCAACCATGTCATCTCAGACCTTGTATTTTATCATTTATCCTTATTATTGGAGAACATCCGCACATTAATTTCACGTGCAAATCTTGTTAACTTTTATCATTTTATTCATATAAATTAATACTCTGTTTATTAATATAGGATCAAGACGGGTGATTGGATTTAATTTTAAATACTTATCGGTCCTAAATATAAAACCCATTTTGTAGTGTAAAATTTACATTACAAAATGGGTTTTATATTTAAGACTGGAGGAATATAAAATTTCAATATGCTTTATCTCTTTATATGTATTATTTTGACACAAATCTTTTTGGTTCTTAAAAAGAAACAGTTTGAGAAGCTTCAATTATTTGAAATGAATTTCTAGGTCCACGGATTTATCAACATATTAAGTTCGTAAAAATAACAAAATTTTTTTGATAATTATGTAATTCTATATAATCAAAAGATTATTATTTTTCCCCTCAAACTAATTTACTTAATGAATAACCTAACACATAATTTAATGGCACACAATTTAAGGAGAACATGTTGTATTTATTATAATTAGTAAATTTATCTAATTTTTTAATTCACTCAAATTGGCTAAAATTAGATGAGTAACTGTTATATTATAGAAAGAGTAGATGATGTTGGGACTTAAATTTTCAAAATATTTTGAAGGATTTTTCGAGTGCATGATACGCCTTACATTAATTGGCCGAAAAACAGAACTTTGTACAACTGGAAAAAAAAAAAATCCCATTGTTATGAATAAATCAAATAAATTTTTATTATGAGTCTCTATTATTTTACAACATCTCCTATTATTATTATTATTATTATTATTATTATTATTATTAAATTTGTCGATATTGATTAGATCGGAGTCATAAACCCATATGCTTTCTCCCCTCTTCCTCTCAGGACATCGGGCCAGGCCGGGCTAACATAATGTCCGGCGACAACATTGGTCAACCGTATTGCACGGCCTAACTTGGGCTCATAAATAAATAAAAACTCGCCCAGACATGGATATATTTTAACTTTTATATTTTATTGATTTTTGCTTTTATAATTATAAGATATAAATAGTATGAAGTGTTTTCTTCAATTTAATATTTTAATTTTGTTTGGAATTTCTTGATTAGCATTTAAAATTAAAAGAGTCACTTTTAAATCCAATATTACTTTTCAACGGAACATTTCAAAAGAAAGTAATTATTTTCGTAAATTCCACTTTAGAAAAACCTTTTTTTTCTCCATTAAACCAAAATGTTTGAAGAATAGAGATACCCTCATCAAGAGAAGATGGAAAAAGATAAGGCAGTCTGGAGAGTACATATATATGAAAACAAAACTGAATTCATCAACTTCAAAATTTTCAGTGATCAATAACCACCAGATCATACTAGCATATTTGGTCTTCATGATATGTGGCAAAAAATAATATTACCTTGAGTATTCAGGGTTTAAATGCTAGTTCTAACAGAAGCAGAATAACGACAGGATCATGCATCCTCTACTTCTTACCTTTTGGAACAGATAATGGCATTGGCAAATCAGTTTTTCTTTTAGCGGTAAAAACTGCTAATATTCTTCAGATCCGCACAAAAAAATTCTCTGGGTCTTATTATCAGCATTGCTGAGATGGTTTCATGATAAGGCTGTGAATCAAGGAGGCGCGTGTGATCCAGAAATTATGATGTCTCAGTCAGGTTGATGATGATGAGCAATGTCATTTTGCATGAAACTTGCGGTTAACAGATTCATAACTGGGTACATTTAGAACTGCCAAAAAGAAGAAAGAGATGTCTCATTACTCAGAGATGAAGGCGCTATCATTATCAGAAACCAAGTAAACGGAAAATTGTGAAATTAATTTACCATCCCCATATGATGCCATTGTCAAAGGCGAGGAGATAATCTTCTGAGCAATCTTAGTAATATCATTCAACGTGATTTCATCTACGGCCTTCAAGAACTGCTCCACAGGTTTCCTGAAAGGAGGTAAAACAGCTTCTTTACAAACATGTGCCATGCTCCTTGAAGACAACATAGCGAGAATTATAAAATTTAGGCACAGTTTTGATGTTTTCTCGAGCTTTTCAATTCAAACACTTATGAGGTTCTCAGCACAATAAAACTTTTTTTTGACCCAAAAAAAAAAAAAAAAAGAGCAAACATCTAAGTAACTTGAGTCCTATCCTTTATTAAAGCTTGATAAACAAGAACCAAATCCCTCTACTTGAGAGAATCCCCCCCCCTCCGAATAATAAGGATGGGTACTATTGGCCTGAGGTTACAAGCAGAATTGAATGGGTTTTTATACCACTAGACTACAAGGCTATTAACACTTGAGAGATATTTATGAGATGTGTCATTTGCATTTTTTTTTCCCGGGTTTCCTGACCAGGATGTGTCCTTCAAATGTTGAAGACTCAGAAAGTAATGGTGCTTCGCATGCTGAGGTAGAAGCAACTATGCAAAAATGGAAGGGGGTAAATTTCAGTTGATATTAAGGAATTAAAGCATTAAAAAAAGGCATGTTCATAGAATCTATACCTTTCTCCATAAGTCAAAACCTGTCTTCCTATGTCCTCTGATGCAATCATCTACAAAAGAGACCATGTGTAAGAAAACAGGAGGAGGGAAACAGAGGAAAAACCACAAGAAAAATTTATCATGCCATGATAATATACAGTCACATGATTTAAGGGTTTTCTTATATACGCGGAGAGACAAGTGAAAATGAAAGTCTAAACAAAAGAAAACCACAGGCCCTATCCTAAATTATCACAATTAGATTAACTGGAGATGGAGAGGGAGATAGAGATAGCGTACTCTAGATTCCAGATTCATTAAAACAGCAGACTTGGTGGATTTTTTGGCACGATCAAGCTGTACCTGTGAAACTGCCATTGCAGGAAATGTAAGTTTAATTTAGCAAAAACCAGGATCTTCACAAATAAACTGTATGGGAAAGAAAAAGAGAGAGAGAGATGCAAGCAAAACCCTGTCCCGGAGATGCAACTGCTATTAATTCCTTGGCTGCTATATCCACAGCTTGTGACACAAAGTCAGAGCTCTACAGCCACAATAAATAAACTCAAGCTTAGCAAAATAATATTAACTAATACTAGTACATTACCAATTCACAAACAAACAAAAGGCCAACAGAAAGGTACAAAATAGCTATATTGTCAGTCAAAGGTAACCTCAACTTGGAAGTTTTTTATAAGTCCATCTTCTCTCAGCATTAGGTAACAAAGGGTTATGATTTAGAGACACAACATAAGGCAGTTCATTTTTATTCAACAATATAAGCCAAATAACAAGAATGTAAGGAATTGTAAGTATGGAACGTAAAGGGTGTGCTTACAGTGCTTGCATAAATGCCAAACAATCCAGTTTTGTTGAAGATACTGTTGAATGCAGAGAAGGATTGAATCTGTTGATACTCATTCAAGACACGAAGATCTGCTTCAAAAGAACATAACTAAATCAACCTAAAACATTAAAAAGAGCACAAGATACAGAGCTAAGAAATAAGCTTCTTGTTTTCTTTTTCCCCTTTTCTTTTATCTGGGACAATCACACCCACACATCCTGACCCACAGGTTGTGCACACCATAGGTTCAACCTCGTGATCTTCCACCCAAAGGTGATCTTCCACCCAAAGGATTTGAAGAGCAACTCGGTGCCATACTTGGCAAGAAATAAGCGCATAGACATATTTATATCAGAGGCAAGCAGAAAGAAAACTCATCTCTGATGGGACAACTTAACAAGTAAAATTGACCAAAGTAGGTTGTAGACAAGAAAACACAGGAAAAGACTTACATAGCCTTGAGTGCATCCCTTTTCCAGGCCCCCCAGCAGAGAATGAACCACCACCTCCCATAAGCATCTGCAATGCTCACAATTGTTTTTATGAATCCCTTCGTCATATCATTTTTTTCTATTTTTGTGCCACTTCGAGAAAAATGTGTTTATTGGATACAGAGGAACTAAGAAACAATGCGCACCTGTAGAACAGTCAAAACTATGGCATCTTTCTCTTCGTGCCAACCACCAGGCACTTCAAAAGCAATAGCAACATGAGTACCCTGATGTTGCAACATATAGTAGTAGATAAGTATCAACACATTTTATTTGATAGGGGGCTTGGAACCTCTGCATAAAACACTAGGAAATATGATAGATGCAATTTGAGGAGGTAAAACTAATACTCACTCCTGCTTCACCTTGACGACGGAAATCACCTCCAACATAGACAGATCTTTGTTCTTCGGGACGGGAAACACTTGGTAGATCAGAGAGAAGTGGGTCTGCAACAGATACAAGTTCTTCATGATCGACCCCATAAGCTGCAAGTACCATTCTGGGTGCACTGTAATGCTCCTAATTTTCCACATCCAACATTCAGAATCCAAATTAGAAAGGGCAAGAACAGCACAAGAAATAGAAGTACATAGTAAATAAGTAGTAGTAGTATGCATCCACTATCAGAAAGAATAACAGGTCTCACAGCAACAAAGTTCTCCAAAACACTGCCATCCAGTCCATCAAGTGATGATTCAGGAGCCAAAAGAGGATTAGCCAATGCACCATAATAACCAGCAGAGTGAATTGCCTCCAAAAGCAAACCCTGAGGATTGTTTGGAAGCTCTCCAAGCTCTGCTTTCACCTTTTGCAGCTGTATCAGTAGATGGTTCGACATAATATTAGAAATTCAGTGAATGATTAACAACCAATCTGGCATCAGAAAACAAGTAAACGGCTGATTGGCTGTCAGCATAAAACAGCACTCTAGAATCATAAATGTAAGGCGTTCTTTTTTTTCCTCATGCAGAACTATCCAAACAAAACAAAAATGATCTAAAGGCTTGGCTAGGAATCTCCAATTATATAACAGAAAAAACAATGAGTCACTTTCTCTCCCTTGATAAGAACCTTTGGAATACTAAACAGTCACTCGAATAATTAAAAAAGGAATGGCCTGTATGAAGGAATGGCCTATTCATACAGACACTATTGGTTTGTTATTTCCCAAGACTATTTTATCCATGTTGGGAGAAGGCCATAAAAATGGTAAAGCCCAGGCCTTCAGCAGAATATGGTGTATGACCTTGCCAAAGACAGACACGGGTAAGAGTAAGAAAACAGTAATGCTATCTTTGAGAAAATAAATTCATATATAATAAATACCTCTTCTTTGACCTCCCAGTCTAAAAAGACTGGGTTCCTTACACAATCAACTAGTAATTCTACCATCTGTGGAACATAACTTTTTAAAGCATCAAATGTGTAGCCCATTTGCTCCCTAGAGGCTGAGGCACCAATATTACCACCAATTGCCTCTACTTCCCTCACAATGCGAAAGTGACTTCGATTAGTAGTGCTCTTGAAAGCCATTCTCTCTAACAAGTGTGAAGCTCCACTTGAAAATGGTGTCTCGTATATGGAACCAGAGTCAATATATAACCCTACGGAAGCTGCAGGGTTCTAGTAAAACCCAAGAAAGAAAAAAGGTCAGGGCAACGATTATGTATAATGAAGTACATAAACTTCAAGTAAATAGGTCACTTGTATTAAAATCACATGAAAGGATAGATAAACATACTGATGACGTCTCTGATGCTATTTTAACACCATTGGAGAGGGTTGTGATCTTGGTCTTGCTTGGTTCAACATGATCCGGTAGTGAGGCTGGAAGAGCAATACCCCCAAGTGGTGTATCCAAAGGGGGAAGAGAATTTGAGCTTTCTCCAGTAAGCCAGCTAAAAAACCCTCCAGAGGTAGGCCTTGTAGCTACTGCGCTTGAGGTTGCAAACCTAGTAGTCCCCAAGTTACTCACACGTCCCTAAAGTCACAGAATTTTTTTATTGATACCAAAAGGATATTAATCAAAACAAAATGTCCCCTCTACAGATACAAAAGAAGCCACCGTGCAAACAAATAAAATGAGCTAAAAAAATTTACACTCCACATTAATAAAAAAAAATCCGCCTCGGCTTTTGAAGGTTTGGCATTAAATGAATAACTGGCCAAATAACGTCTCATTATCCCAAAACATTCATCCAATCACAATAATCAAGTTTTCCCAGAAAAAAAAAGAACAGAAATTTTCGGTGATGCATTACAGGCTGACATCGTCAATCAAACGCCATAGTTATTCAGGGCCAGTTTACCAACAAAACGCTGAATGGGATCGAAACAGAAAGTCAAGGCATTGCCGCAAGAAGTGGGCACTCACCTTGAGAGACCTCAGCGGTGAAGCTGCCGCTCTGTACATGATGAGCTCGGTTGCAGAGTAAATCCCAAATCCTTGGAGTTACAGCTTCAGAAGTTTCAGTATTTTGAGGTTTTGCGACACACCGAAGAACGACGGTGGCTAGGAAGCGAAGAAAAGCGAGGTTTTTGGTCTCAGGAATAAGTTCAATTGAATCCCTACGGTGAGGGATCTTGCCTGCGGTAACTAAATGCTATTCTGCTTTTGGTTTTGCCATCATTTTTCCTTTTCATTTCTTCGTCAACAATTATCGTTTTTAATAAAAATTTCGATAAGAAAAACTACAAAAAGGGCACTAATTTTTTTTTTTTGATAAAAAGGCAAATCATATTAATGAAAGGATAAGCATTACAAAGTTTTAATTAACAAAAAATAACAAATAAACGGCACTAAATTATAAGAAAAACAACCTCAAACTTTTAAAACTTTCACCAAAAGTTCCCCCTTTTTTTTTTGGCCAACTGACCAAAAGTTTCTCGACTTCCAAATGCGTGATGGTGAAATTGTGTTATTAGTTAGTTTACTAACAAAGTGTTATTATGGTGATCTATAATATAATATGCCTATTCAAACTTAAATTTGTGCATAATCTCTGCAAATCTGAATATCTTTAAATATTTTTTCGTAAGTTTTTAGTCATATGTACCTAACGATATTGACTAAAAGGATAAGAAGGATAAAACTATATATAAATAAATCTCAGTCATGTTACATTTTCTCAATGAAATAGGAAAAAATAAATATTTTTTATCCTACTTTATACTAATTTTGAAATTAGTCCTTAATAGTTATAATTGCTTTGAAAGGGTTTTCTATATATACTCAAATTTATTAAATGCGCTAATCTCAATATATATTTTTCACTTGCACCATCATTGTGATGTATGGTAATTTTCACATCTGATCTCTCATCATTCCATGTGATGGCTCAAGAGTAAATATATCTACAAAACTCATTTTTAAAATTGGATAAAAACTAAAAGATTAATTTTGAAAAGAAAAGATGGTTTTTGGCGGTGCACTACTCTCTCTTGAGAGAGAAAAGCTTTTTTTTTTTTTTTTCTTGATCATTAATTAACTTGCTCATCGCCTTCATTCCAACTTTTAAACGGAACCTTTTGAATATTCAAACAGCAGCAATAATAATTTAACTTTTCTAAGTTTGAAACCTTCAAAGAATGAAATGTTTCAAAGTGGTCGATGCCTTTCATCTTCTCTGCCAAAATGTCCTTCAGCCATAGTCTTTATTATGCCACCATCCCTTTTTTCCTTTTTGATGTTATATATAATTGATACGCCTTTTTTCTTTTGGTTTAATATCCAATATTCAATTCATCCTTTTGGATTCTCTAGGCATGTGGTGGACTGGCTGGCCAGTGTATCAGTAAATCGAAATCACCTCTTGTGTTCAGCCCCGGCGTTAGCAAATGCTATGAAAATGAAGTTTTTGAGCTAGTTGGGCATTAGATTTGAATAAAGAAAAATATTTGGACACTTATGTTGATTTGAGCAGAAAAAAATCATCAATTATATAATGAAGTGCTGGACAAGATTGATGAGAAACTTCAACAATGGAGGGCTAGTTTTCTTTTGCAAGCGGGGAGGTTAAACATTGATCAAGTCGCCTATCTTCATCAGTGTTAGTGCATACCCTCTTTTACTAAGCTACCATCATTTATTATGCATGAAATAGACATGAAGATAATATATTGATTCTTAATATAAAAGCTAGTCGAAAGTTTGAGTTTAGTTTTAAATATAAGACTTTAATTCACTTTGTTTCTGAAATTTATAATTTTTTTTTCAAAATATCCTTATTGTTTGTAAGAAGTTCCTACCAAGAAGTAATTTCAATGCATATGATTAAATAGGACAGTTTAAGAAAATCAACATAGATTTGTTACAAATGACTAATTTAACTAATTTTTTTTTAGTATTTTTAAATTAGTTAGCTAACTTTTATGTTAAAGATAACTAAGTTCTTTTGGTAATTCAAAAAATAGAAGTAAAAGGATACATTTGTTACCACGAACAACATTCGTCAGTCAAACAAGTTAGGTGGATTTGGGAAGACAATGGATTTTTTTTTTTTTGGGCGATGAGATAGAGGATTTTAATAAGGCATTATTAGCTAAGAATATATGGAGATTTGTTTTGGATGGGAAGTGGTGTTTCCAGGATGAGTACTGTGTAAGGACCTGTCCTTGTGAGGAAAACAACAACTAGAAACAACTCCTAATACTCCGTAGGTTGAGAAGCAAATGGAGGAATCCACCCAAGGTATTGAGCAGAAGTTTCATTTTTCTCATGAAGAGTCTTGTACTTTTGAAGCATCGAGCCATTTGATGTTATCAAAGGGTTAGGTTTAGCCTTAAAAGCCAAAATATTTGCCTTTGAAAGATGAGCGGCCCGTTATTAGGACAAAGGGATACACACTAGAGGTGGTAATATAGGCCAACTCCCGTGACAGATTAGGGTTAGGCGGTGCGGGCTAAAAAGGTTCCTTGTAACGGTGGGTTGGTTTTTAGCTAACCCTAACTCGTTATGGTGGGTTGATGAGTTGGCCAGCCAACTATTCTTTTCTTTCTTTTTTTTTTAATTTTTAATTTTTAAAATATTTTTTCTTATATGATATAAAAAATATAATGAAATTTTTATCTTTTCTTTAAGTACTTGATTAAAAATACCAAATAAATAAATGATATAGGTATTTTTTAAAATTTTTTAGATAGAATATACAATATAATAATATACATATAATATACATATAATGATTAATAAAATTTAAAAAATACAAAAAAATGGGGGTTAACCTGCGGGTTGGCAGGTTAACCCGTGACGGGTTGTGGGTTAGATGGTACGGGTTGAAAAGCGTTGTTTACTGACGGGTTGACTTTTAGCCAACCATAATATGTTATTTTTGGTGGGTTGGTGGGTTGAACCCATGAGTTTAACCTATTTTATCAGCTCTAATACCCACAGCCTCTTCTATGAAAAGAGAAGTGCGAGAACTAATTGTTGACTTTGATAAACTCCATTCTATTAAAATAGAAATAAGCCTCTTCACGGAAAAAAAAAAAAAAAGGGCCAAGAAAGAGAGAAGAGAAAATTGCAAATAAAGACCTCCAAATATGTAAAATTATGATTTGGGACCCTTAATTTAGAAAATAGCAAATAAAGACCCGATCTCACTTTTTGCAAATATAAAATTGTGGTAAAATATTTGAAATACCTCTCAGTCAAATGACAAGTTAACTATGAGAAATAGCAAGTTCACTTTAACGAATGACAACTTTAGTAGACCAAATCACAACTTGGTTAAGGATATGCCAAATGACAAGTTGACTATGGGAAATGACAAGTTCGCTTTAACGAATGATAACTTCAATAGACCAAATCACAATTTGGCTGAAGGGCATTTCAGAAATTTTACTCACATTTTATATTTGCAAAAGCAGGATTGAGTCCTTATTTGCTATTTTCCAAATTTAGGATCTCAAATTATAATTTTACATGTTTGGGGTCTTTATTTACAATTTCCCAGGAAAGAAATTAGCCCAATAGTCAAGTCGATATACTATACAAAGTACAAACATAAAATATTACTTGTTGCCGTAAATTTAATATTTACTAAATTATTTATACAGACAGATAACTTTTTGATCCGTTTCTTTGAGGTCTTTCAAATTTAAAATACTACTTCCTATACTTAACAAGATAGTTAATTGGAATTGTATTTGATCTTAAATATAAAATCTTAATCCACTTTATCTCTCATATTTTTTCAAAATTCTCTATTGATTACAAGGGTTCCCATTAAGGGATAGTTCCAATCATCTAATGCATATATGATTGAAAATGATATTTTAGGAAGATCAACACATATTTATAACAAATAACTAATTTAACTAATTTTTTTAATATTTCCAAACTAGTTATGTAACTTTTATATTAAAGACAGGAGGTAATAGATTTTTTTGGCTAGTAAATTTAAAATAGAATGTAAATAGCTGGGATATCATGCATATTTAACATCAAGCGTGTCTTCTGATTTTTTTTGTTTGACCGGAGTGTTTTCTGATATTTTAAATCAATGAAACACCCTTGCTTGCAAATGTTACGTGGATGAAGCTTAATTTTAACATTAATCAATTAATGCATGAGTCAGAGATTGATTACCTCACGAATAACACAAGTCAACTTGCATATGCAAAGTAAATTTAGACTTGTAGTACTACCTCCTGTCCTTAATATAAGACCCTATTTGACTTTTATTTTGGTCTTAAATATAAGACCCCAATCCACTTTGTCTCTCATATTTATACATTTTTTTCCCCAAAATAACCCTTCTAACAATGATAGTTCTAATCAATACACCTGATTAGTAAGGATATTTTAAGAAAGACAACACCTATTTAGGACAAATAACTAACTCAACTTACTTTCTTAATATCTTTAAATTAGTCAACTGGTTCTTATAATTAGGACCGAAGGTAGTATGTTTTATTTATAAGTCATTTGCAACATGTTTCACATAGACCAAGAAAAACCTTAAACTTCATTAACTCTTATTTAAAATTCAATAATTTTTCACCTTTATTCCTATTTAATATACATTATACCTTATTTAAATAAAATCAACACAATAATAAATAAAGGGTAAAATTGTGCATCCATACAAAATTTCTCTCAATACCCTATAAATAGGACAAAAAATATTTTCTCTCTTTACATATAAATAGGACCAAAGGAGTATATATATAAAATCTAATTTAGTCATATAAAACAATTTTATATATCATCATTTATTGCTTCATCAGAACAAAAAGAAAAGGCTGCAGAATAGAGAAATATCACAAATTGCCATTTTAATCTCTATTTCATTTGAAGAGGCATCTAACTTTAATAAATTAATATGTTGTTTTCCCTTTTCACGATAAAAAGTTGTTCTAGAAAGGTAAATACTACTAATTAATGCCTTTTGATAATCGTTAAAACATACAAATTGAAAGACAACACAACCAATCCGAACTAATGACATTGCTTTCATATATGATTAGTAATTAGTAATTATTTTATAATCAACACATAAATATTTTTTCTTTTGACAAATAAGGGATTTATTAATATAATATGACGGACTACTTCATGGTCT